GGTGGCGATGGGTCTGGGTCCACTCCTGCGACAGAGGCGAAGAATGGCGGCGGCTCCACGATGTCCTCCTCAGCCCTTCGGTCTCAGAGGAAGTCTCTGCTGAAGTTCCTGCGGGCTAGGGGGGCGGCTCCCACCATTTTCCCCCATCGTTAACCCATGATTACCCACTAACAAAAGCACCTGCCCCTGGAGTTAACAAGAAATGAAAAAATATCTTCCAACCGGCTTCAATAGATGAAAATAGAATTACACATTTTTGGTTACATATTGTAACCCAAGACATGTAGTAAGTTGGGGGTCGGGCTCTTCTCCCCGGCAATGAGAGGGCACGGCCTGAAGCTGCGTCAGGGGAGGTTTAGGTTGGATCTCAGGAAACACTTCCTCACGGAGAGAGTGCTCAGGCACTGGGATGCACTGCCCAGGGAAGTGGTGGAGTCACCGTCCCTGGAGGGGTTTAAGGAGAGGCTGGATGTGGCACTTAGTGCCCTGGTCTGGCCCATGTGGTGGTGTTGGGTCACAGGCTGGACTTGATGATCTCAGAGGTCTTTTCCACCCTCAACAATTCTGTGTTTCTATGTATGTCTTAAACTTTAAAAATTAAAGGAGAGAACAAATTGTGTTGCAGTGAATTTTTCATGAGACATTTTGGCGAGTCTACACAAAACACAGGCTTCTATGATAAGAAAGACAAAGTGAATGAAGATATCTTCCCCTGGGTACCATGGTGACAATGAGGTTAAATGATCATTGTCAAGAAAAAAGATAGGCCAAAAATTTTGACTATAAGAAACACTTAAGTCAATAAATACTTGTAGAGAAAATGGTATGTTGTCATCCTGAACACTACTGATGTGCCTTTACCTTTCTGAGCTGTCTGTAGAAGTGAGATTACTGATTTGGAAATATTGCTGTGATGTTGTGTAGCATAAGTGTTGGTTCTTATAGGTGAGCAATCAGATCTGATTAGGCTATATTGACTCTGAAACTCTTCTGAGTTGGACTGGGATGGGAGTTCATTCTCTTCACAGCAGCCTATATGGTGCTAGAATTTTTGAGTTTGTGACCAAAAAGGTGCTGATAACACACCAGTGTTTTACCTGTTGCTCAGTAGTGCTTACACAGCTTCAAGGCCTTCTTTTTTTTCTCACTATGTCCCCAGTTAGTAGTTTGGGGTTGCACAATAATCTGAGAGGGGAGACAGCCTGGACAGCTGAACCCAGCTGACAGAAGGCGTGTTCCATGCAGTGTAACATCATGATCAGGAATAAAAACAGAGCAGGGCGAGTTTTTGAGTAGGTAGCCGTGGCTCAGAGACCAAGTGGGCCTCGGTCTGCCTGTAGGAGGTGATGAAAAATTGCATTTACATCCCTTTTTTTGGTTGTTGTTGTTTTGTTTTGTTTTTTTTTCTTTGGCTTTCTTTTGCTTACTTGACTGTCTTTGTCTTGACCCACGGCTGTTCTTGGTTTTGCTCTCCCTACAATGCCCCACTGGGGAGGGGAGTGACCGAGCAGCTGTGTGGTGCTTGCTGCTGGCTGGCATCAACCCACAACAGAAATGGAGTTCCCAGTGTACTTGGGAAAGGACTTTTAAACAAACACATAGCAAACAAAAATTCCACTCCCGTGCTGACAAAACTGTTATGTGTGTATATGTGTGTACATATGCATATCTAGCTATATCTATTTTTAACGTATGGTTCAGATTTGGTGTGAGAATACAGATTTTGATCAAGGATGCTTACAGTGAATTGTAATTTTTTTATTTATTTTACTTTTAATGATAAAGAATATTCTGAAACAGTTTTCAGGACTTTATCATTTAGTGAGGGTGGTGTATTTGACTGTTTTCAGAATGATTTTTTTGTAGGTGAAGCCGGTGTCTGATTGTCATGTATATTTTCATAATGCACATCTCTAAACATATTGGGTTATTTAAGTGACCTCATGTTTACTTTTCATTAGTAGGCCCTTCTTCTTCTACTAAAAAACTAAGTCTGAAAATCACCTGCTGCTTGACCCAAAGCTGTTCTGGTTGTCTGAGCTGTATCATCTGCTGTACTTCCATTACATTCTAGATCGGGGCAGGATTATTGTCATCTATATTTGTGTAATTTCCATGTATTCTGATATTACTAAATAAAGTTTAAAAAATGACACAGCACCAACTTACTAATTCTAAACATTGCAATACATCATTAAATAATGCTACTTATATTGCTGCACTGGTCTTGAAAGGGGACTTAGAATCATGAAAATAAGTGGGGTAAGTACTCGTAGCGCTGTACTAGGCTTGTACTTGGTAACTCTGCGTGAAGTGAGCAGGAGGAGTATTTTGAGGTGCTTGCAGTCTTGTGTTTAGGCAAGAAAAGCAAACACTTGGTGAGCTTCTGATTGCTGGAGAGCCTTTAGTTCAGAAATCTTTAGGGTATGATTGCTGTTTGATGCTGACTAGGCTAGGTCTGATGCTACTCTTGTTTTCTAATATGGTGGTTTAGGAATCCAGAAGTCTATTTATTTTTTTTTTAATAGTTTAGCTGTCTGGAGAGAAGCACAGTGTTACTACAAAAGCTGTGCGTTTTACATTCAGGAAAGTTTGGATTTATGGCAAGCATTTTCATTGAAAAATCAGTGTGTCAGGAATAGAGTAAATACACAGATTGCCAACATTACAAAGATTTACTTACATATAACCCTTTTTTGTCTCACACTTTTATTTTTTTCTTTTTTAGCCAGGTTATGATGAGATCAACCCAGACTGGAGACTCTCTAGTGAAAAAAGAAAGAAAATAAGAGGTATCTGGTACAGTTAGATCATTATTTTGCATGACTGTGTAGTTAAAAATATTTACACAAATACACAAAAACCTGAAATGGCTTGATTAAATCTCCATTAAGATGGTTGCCAAAATTGTATGTATGATTTGAATTTGTAGCATGGCATAGCTAAATGAGTGTCACAACAGGTTTTTTTAAAATCCTCTCTTAGAAGTACTTTTGTAGTCATAACCATAAAGAAGACAATATTTCAGTTAGTACAGGACTTCATTTATAATCATTTATAATATTGCTGAATATTCAGCAAATATCTTGGCTTGCCTTAGAAATCACTACATCATAATATTGTAGGTAATACTTTATTGAGATGGCAGTCTAAAACCTGAACTTACCTTTCTATGAATGTCTAATAAATCTTGAAAGCTAACGAAATTTAAATATATTAGCTTAAAATTGTAAAACCCCAGGTCTTTGTTTCCTCTGACTAGATTTGCCTCATGTTAGCCCCTCTATTCTTTTTCCAAAATTCAGGCCACTATGTTCAGCTGTTTGTCACCAGCTTGTTGCACGGCTCTTCCAAGAGCACAGAGATGAACAGCTATTCTATGATCCATTCGCTACTGCTTGTGTACGTCTATATTATTAAAAGATCCCTGTTTCTTTATACTATTTTTTCTTGGTGATTCTGTCTCTGGGTTAATTCATCTGACCTTCATTGGTAGGCTGCTAACTAAGCGCTGAAATGGCATAAAAGTGATAAGCCGATCTCTTTCTCAGTGCTGTTTGAGGGAAAGATCATTTTCCTCAGAAGTGGGAAATGACACCGTAGTGAACAAAGAAAGCAAACTCTCTGGTGAACATTTTGTCCCAACATCCACTTACCATAATCAAGGGAATCTTAGAAATGACACGGCTTCCATCCTCTGTTGTGGCGACTTTGTTTGTTTGTTTATTCTTCTTATTTTGTTGCTTTAACCTTCTTAACCTCATCTTGTAGGCTGTTGCAGGAGCCTAGTTCATATTTGTCGCTATGATCTGGGGTTGGAAGTACCGAAGCATATCTTTATTGAATATCTAAAATGTGTCATGTTTTGTGCAAGTAAATCAGTTTACTGTGAATTCTTTTTCCAAGTAATAGTAAAAAATAATTACATCCAAAATTAAGTAATTTTTTTTTCTCTTCAAAAGCTTTATTTTAATGCAGAATTGATTTAGTTAAATATGATTATCTAAAATACAAACTTAATGAACTAGGAATGCATATGCAATACTAAATGTTTGTTAAATTAGGATATTAGATGAAATCTCACAGTAATTGAAGTCACTTCTGTTCTTATCTGGTGTTTAAAGTTGTCTTTCTTTGTATGGCACATTCTTATTTATTTGTTTGTTTATTTTAGATAAAGAATCCTATTACCCCTTGATAGATGTAAATTGGTGGGCCAATAATTCTGTCATCCTGGCTCGATGCTCTGGTGCACTGACTGTTTCATCAGTCAAGACATTAAGAAACTTGCTGGGAAAGTCATGTGAATGGTTTGAGAGTTCTCCTCAGGTCACTTCAGCTCACGATGGTGGATTTCTAAGTCTGGAGGTGAGGAATGTAGTAGAACAGTTTGCTTTTGTGTATGTAATCCCAAGGGTGTTCTCTGTGTGTCGTGTGGTTAAAACAGTAAGTTGTTATTAATAGTAGAAAAAGCAATTATATTTTCTTATCTCTAGATAGGTATTGCAGGGAAATTCTGAACTTGCTGCAGCTTAAATGTCATAAATCTTGTTTGTCAAATAACTACTGGAGAACAGAAGCAAAACTCCTAGAAGGCTGAATCTGACTGAGTTTGTGACAACATTTGTCACTGTTCTGTATGTTGGGGCATTTGAATACTACTGTAAGCATCACTCCCCCGTTCTGAAACAGATGCCTCATACAGAGGGAGTATATTTAAAAGAAATGAGAAGCACCTTTCCATTAAGACAAAACTATGTAAGACCTTTTTTTGTTTATCTTTGATAGGGGTTCTAGGAAGGAGTAGAACCAGGAATTTTCTTTGAGCCTAAGAAAATTACTCTTTCCTGAGGCTTACACTAAAATAGCTCTTAAACATCTTAAGCAGAAATTTAAAATAATATTTAGCAGAATATCTCAACACATACCAAAGCTTACATGTGTGTTTTTTGGAAAGGTTTATTATTTCTGGAAATAAGATACAGCCAGTGACTGGCATGTTGCAGCCTAAGGATGCAGTCTGAGATTACATTTGCATTGAACAGAAAACCTTGCTATAAATAGCTGATAGTTGAAAACGCTGCCGTGTGTGTGCTGCCTAACAGGTACATCACTGCGTACAAAGGTGTCTCTGTAGTTCTGTCCTCTCTGAGGTGGTGGAGGGTGTTTAGTGTAGCAGCGGCTTACTGTTGAGAAGCCTTCACGCTCGCTTCAGTAGGTAAGGGATGAAGCCTCAGATGTAGGAGACAGATGCAGGTCGGGTTTGTGGAGCATGTTAAGCAAGTTGAGAAGTAAAGGGTTTAAAGGAGAAGGGGAGGAAGGACGTTGATTCTGGAATTTGCAGTACTGGAGGTAGATACATACATAATTCTCACCAAACTAGTTGAGGGTGTACTAGGTGGATGCTTCGTATTTGTATTTTCTGTGCAGTGCGAGATAAAACTTGTTCCAAAAAGACTGCGCTTGGAGAGCAGACCTGGTGATGAAGATGAAGAAGATGACTCTGAATCAGATGATGAAACTTCTGCTAAGGACAGATACTTCAGCTACCTAAAGCAAGGCCTGTACTTCGTGACAGAAATGGAACGATTTGCTCCTCCGCGGAAACGTCCACGTACTATTACAAAGAATTTCCGCCTTGTCAGTTTGAGATCCACGACTCCAGAGGAACTGTACCAGAGAAAAGTAAGTGTAGAAGGAGAGATCATCTCTCTCTTAAATAAAACTTATTAAAAATAACATTTTCTTTTTCTTTTAATTCTTGCAATATTAACAGAAGGGTTTAGGTGCCTACTTCTGAGAGTCTCTTAGCTGCCAGTGCACTGTGCTACATAATCAAAGGGATTGTTGTTTGAAACTTGCGTTACAATAACTGAGATGATGTTTGCAGGTCACTGAGGGGACACTGCGTCTGTAGCGTGGCTGGGCTTGGAAGCGTACTCATGTGAGTGTTTACAAATAATGAGAGACCTAGCAAACAGGTTGAATAAACTTAGCTTAGCTTGCTATTGCTCAGGCGATGGGTTAACTTTACATTCTGGTGTGAATGTAGTTTTCTTTCACGTTTACAAATTAGACCTGTGACTCACTCTTACCAAACATGCTGCTTCATTTTTAAGATGACTCTAGGCAGTATTTTGTGTGGGCCATTTCAATTGTTCTGAGGGTAAACCAGCCTGCTTTCTGGCTGTTTAGGTTCCAGAGAGTGCTGATATCATCTTGGTTACCTAAATAACTTTTTTTTTTTTGAGGAAAATATCTGATTTTCTAGAGGTATCCATCAGATCCTAATCTTACTCCTGTGTGTCTTTTCTCTCCTACCTGGGTAAGCATACCCACAGTAATTCTCCTTCTACTTGTCTCAACACAAGGAATTAATAACTGATTGTTTAATATAGAAATTACTTTAATTTTCATATGTTTCCTTTTAGATTGATAATGAAGAATATGGGGAAGCTTTGACTTTGGCTCAGACATATGGCCTTGACTCTGATCTTGTGTATCAGAGACAGTGGAGAAAGTCAGCTGTTAACGTTGCTTCAATTCAAGACTACTTGGTGGGTTTGAGTTTTGTGACTTTTATGTTTTCTCATCAGAATGCTTCTATTGCCTTTACAGATACTAAATTTGTAATTGTTTTCTAATTTGTGCAACATGAATTGGTTACAATTAGGAGAGCTGTCCTGCAAATTCCATTTCGTGTCATGTGGAAGAGAGTGATCTTGTTACCTTAATCGAAGGCCTGATCTGCAGACCTTGGAAGTTAATGGAAATCTTTTCCTTTTGAGTATCTTCTAATTTTTATTAATAGCAGTTTGCTTTCTCTGGTGTAACTCTCTTCCACGTGCAGCAGTAGATTGTTGTCTGGCAAATGAAGAATAATAATAGGAAATATAAAGCTTTTAAATAACTTCCAGATATTTTTGAAAATCAAATGGGAAGGTGAAGTTAGTATCAATAGTTACGTAACAAAGTTTGAATAACAAAATCTACAGTGAACTCTGTTACCTGCAACTGGAGCTTTTTGGTAGAATACAATGTGGGATTTTTTGGCTTGTAAGAAAGATTTCAAACTCAGCAAGTGTTGTCAGAGCTGCATTAAAGTCTTCCAAGAAATCAAGAGAAATGTCTTTTTTTAAAAGTTGGATATTAATTCAGTGTCAAAATAAGATTTTTGAAAGTAGCCATGCTCCATGTAATCTCAACTGAAAATCAGCAGGTAAGGCCGTTAGTGTTTTGTGACCCTGGTGTGTCTTCTCTGTTACACAATTGTGTTGGCATGTGAAGAGGTTGATACTGAAGATGAGTAGTGCTATTGTGTGATACACTTGGCTTATAAGAACTGCATTTTAGCCCTAAACCATCACATTTTATTTAGTGTAAGGAGCTGTCATACTAACTAGGGAATGCAAATAATGTCTGTTCTATTTGTTGTGAAACTTATGCTAAATCATTTGGCATTTCTGTGACCTTTTCTGCCATGCGTACTCTGAGGGAATTATGTTTTTTTGTTTCTTGCCTCTTTCGTTGGTTCTTGTTGTCAGTCATCAGAGTAACGATGTTTTCGTAAGGGGGAGAAAGGAATTAGACGATTTTAACTTCTCTGGTTTCGTTGCTTTGGATTGCAGCATGTAATGTGTCTTCTCTCTTGTTCTTGGACAGAGCAAAATTAAGAAGCGCGCATGGGTTCTTCATGAGTGCTTGGAAAGAGTTCCAGAGAATGTGGATGCTGCTAAGAAACTGCTTCAGTATGGCTTGAAAGGCACAGACTTGGAGGCTCTTGTGGCCATAGGAAAAGGAGAAGATGGTGGCAGGTTTGAGAAGAGTATTTTTTTGTTTGTTTGTTTTCTTTAAAAAAAACAACAGTATATGAAGCCTTTTCTAACAATTTGGTATTTTTTTTTTATTGGCCACTGATGAAAATGTTAAGATGCTTTTGCAGGATGTAAAGAAAAGTAGGGATCTGAATCAAGCCTTTTCTCATTTTACCATTGTAAAAGGTAAACCCACTGTTTGTTTTGTACGTTTTTCCCTCTTCCGTCGATACCCCTTATTATCTTCATCACAGAGAACTGAGGTCACTATTTCTCTATGAGAATCTTTCTGTTGCCTCTTCTGGAATCTGCAGCTACCCTTATAAATATGTTTTGTTACACGTCTTTCTGTAACGATCTTCTGTTATTTAATTGGAGGAGAACAAAGCAAAGCACGGTGGGGTCAGTGGGAAGTACGTGCAGAGACAATTTCTTCACTGTTCAGTTCCTAGTGGTAGAAATAGAAGAGATGTTTGTACAGTTCCTTTGTGCAGTCGTCTATAACCATTATACGCTGTAGAGCTGCTGCCAATCCCAGCAGTACCTGTGGAATTTAGAAACTCTAATCAACCTTCATAGGTGTCGGTTTGGTTTTGTTGATTTTTTTTTTAGGGAGGGGATGGAACCAAGAGATGATGCTTTTTGTTGGCTTGTGAGTGCCTGCTGCTTTACCACAGCAAAACTCAGAATTTGCTTTTTCTATAAAAGGTTAGATTTTTAGTCAAGACGTAAACGGAAAGCTGTGTTAGTATTTTTATTCAAAAATTAGTTCGTCGTATCTTTTTGTTGAGTTTTTTTTTAATCTACATTCTGTCTTCCAGATTTATCTTACCAGGGGAGGTGGACATTGAAATTCCCTATGAAGACTTTTTGTCACCAGATAAAGAAATGGATACTAGAAAGCAAAAAGAGGCCAAGAAGCATCAAGAACTGCTATTATCAGTAAACTTCTCAAAGTAAATGAAATGTTAGGCCACATTTTACTCAGACTTTCAGGTTTATTGTAACTACACAGTTACAAGAATGTAATTGCACTCGTGTTATTCCTAGTAGGACAGTACTTTATATTTGAATTGGCATTATATTGTGTCAAAGTTATGAGTTTATTTAATTTCTTGAAATATTCCTGTGTACAAAGTCATCGAAATATGTAACTGATGTCTTCATCTGAAGATAGGATGTACAATACCCTGCCGCGAGCCTGAAAATTCTTGTTTTGAACACAGGCTGACACTGGAACAAAAGGAACTCTGCCGTAGCAGGCTGAGGCTGTTAACTTACCTTGATCGCCTTGAAACCTATGAGGTGAGCAAGCTTGGTAACTGGCTGCAGTTCTTTTGAGTTCTCATTCCATAGGTTTTTTCCTGTAACATTTTTATCATATCATCGTATCCTCTTTTGTTATATATTGTTTTGAAATGCTTTTCTGAAATACTTCAGAAAAGTAAGCTGATTTCTGTTCAAGCTCTTGTGTTCCTCCTGCTTTTCTCTTACAAATGACCAAGTTCTAGTCTTGAGACGTGTAGTTGGGCAGAAGCCTGCTCTGATCATACTTCAGGGAATTAAATTATGCAACAACATGGAATGTGGACTTGTTATTTCCCTCTCTCAGTCTACTTAGCAAGTTCTATTCAGTTTCTCTGACAAATCTTTTTCTTCCATGAGCTTAAGAAATCTAAAGTTTTTGGAACGTTGAACTATTTTTAAGTTTTTAACTTTGCAGTTGGCATTAGTCAAGTAATGACATTGGAACTAATGACATCTCTGTAACTAATGTTGTCTAAACTCTAATTAAAATAAGGCAGAGAATTGTCTTGGCTTGTTAATCAAAAATGCATCTATTTTTCATACTGAAACAAAAACTAGCGTGCTTCTCCACATATATCTCATACTTCCTATCCTAAGATAAAGCAAATCGTAGGCTTTTTGATGCTTTTGTGCATCTTGTATCAACCCCAGTGTTTTAAAGTGGTTGTTTTTTTGCTTTTTCTTAAAGGAAATCCTTGGAGGACCTCATGCAGCTGAACAGCACTACGATGGTGAATTCTTCAAGAAGTTCAGAAATCAGAATATTGTACTTTCAGCACGAACTTATGCTCGGGTATTTATTTCGCTAGAATGTCATTTTGGTTTCGTATTTCTGTTGGCACTTCAGTGTATTTTTTCCCTTCCTTTGAACTTGGTTGAATCTCAGTGGGAATTTAGGAGGTGGGGGTGTGTTTGCTTAATTGTAAATAAATAAATATAGTGACGTTTATTTTCTTCTGTTGCTAAGGAAAATTTTAAAATTGTTTGTTGCATGCTCATTTTCAGTCTAAAGAAGTCTTAATGCTAGTTCTTCAACTTCATGTTTTGCTCTTCAGGAAAGTAATGTCAGAGCCCTGGAAATTTTGTTCACTTTCCATGGATCAGCTTTACTTCCACACAGACAGGCAATTCTCTCCAATTTTCCAGAGACTACTTCACCTCATGAATATGCTTTCTTGTTGCCTGAAGCTTGGTAAGGATGCATTAATGGATAATAACTGAAAGAAAAAATAATAAATTGCTGGCTTAATACCTAAATCAGTTATTCCAGGCTTATTACCTGGAATCAAGAGAATAACTTTGTCTATATGTACTATATATATAATAACTTTGTCTATATGTACTTGTCCAGCCTTCATTTTCTGCTTTACTTTGTGCCATCCGTGGAAGACTTCTGGTTTCTTCTGGTTACTGTCAGGAAAGTAGATACTTTAAATGTTCTTGCCTCTATTGCTGCGCGCGGAAGCAAAGCAAAAGAAAGATTATTCTCTACTTCCCATCAGCAGGCAATGTCCGGCCGCTTTTGCAGGAAGCAGGGCTCCAGTACGCGTGGCGCTTGCTCCGGAGGACAAACACAAAACAGCGAATGCCCCCCCACTTCCCTCTTCCTTCTCCCTTTTATGTCTGAGCTGACGTCATATAGTATGGAATACCCCTCTGGTCAGCTTGGGTCAGCTGGCCCGGCTGTATCCCCTCCCAAGATGTTACCCACCCTCAGTCTACTGTTGCGGGAACGTTGGAAAAAAACCCCAAAACCACAGCCTCGGTGCTGTGTGAGCACTGCTCAGCAGTAGCCAAAACACTGGGGTGCTATCAACACCCTTCAGCTACCACTCCAAGGAGGGAAAAAACAAAACAAAACAAAACAAAAAACAACCAGCACTGAGAGAGCTGCCGTGGGAAGATTGACTCCACCTCAGCCTGACCCAATACAATGTCATATAAATTTTCATGAGAGTCTTCCTTGGGCATCATAATAATGTTTTTTGGCTTCTAGAGTGTTTCTTTCAAACACTTCAATTACAAAATTAGTTTTCAAGTATATTATACAGTGCCCATAAAAAATTGGAGAGATTTCATTATTTAATATTTTACAATAGTACTTTGAAGCCTTAGTTCAGACAGATAGTTTTGGAGCAGCTAATAGAATATTTTTTTTGCAGTAGTCCAGAATTATAGTTAAGTTTTGCACTTCAAAGTTTTAACAGGGTTTTTTAATTCATCAAGTTATTCCCCTGACATTTTTCCTAGCTTGTAATACTTACTACTTTTGTCCTTTCTGAGCAGAACTTAGTCATAATATTTAATAGTGCCCTATTTCTTATATTGATAGCATTAGGAACACAATTATTTAGTTACAGAGTGAAAACACTTGTGTAATCCTTTTCTTTATGGTAACAGGATCATTAAGAGAAATTGCTGCAGCATTTGTAAACCTCCAAAAGTATGTTCCAATTTTTCTCTTTTGATAAAATCTATAATGTGAGAAGGAGGGAGGAAGAGTGTTTTTAAATGTGTTTGTCATAGTTTTTTGGTGTTCATAAGTAGGTTCCCCTTCTTTCTGAAGGGTTGTTATTATTTTTGACACTTTTTTTTTTGGTGGTTGACTGGTTCCTTTAAGAAACTGATTTATATGCCAAGAGGAGAAACAACGGTTAAAACATTTCACTAATGATCTAGTAGTAAAGATATGAACTTTTGTGTTAAGATCTTTGTTTTGTCTGCTGTTAGAAAAATGGGTTTATATAGTTTGAATCCCTGTTACTGTGGCAGACAGAACTTACCAGTACTGGGATCGGATATGTGCAGGTTCACACTTTTATTTTTCTGTGGTGGCAGAATGTCTTTGAAATGTTTGTCTTTGGGCAACTACAAAAGGGATGAGAACAAATCCTATACATACAAATCCCACATTCTTCTGAAAATACACGGTATACTTGATCTAACCTTGTTCTAACAATGTTTCCCTGTTACAAAATGAATTACTTGCATAGTATTGCTAAATGAAGTCCCTAAAACTGTTGAAAATGTAATATAATTAAAGAAGTATTGCTGAAAATATCTGTTAATGCGAATAATGTATCAACGAAAGAGAGTGAATTTGCACAAAGTAACATTTGTTCTTCTTTTTTTTTTTTTTTTCTTTTTATTAATGGGATGAGTTTCACCCCTCCTTGGTCCAAATAGCTCCCACTTCTCACAATTCGTGTTTGATATGAATCAAAATGAATCCATGTGAAACAAAGAGAATTAAAGTTTTTGGTCACTTTAAGTGAGTTTATTTGGCCTTTTAGCTCTAGAATTTTTTTTTTTTAAATGAGTTATTAATATGAAAAGAATTACTAGCGTTCTGTAGATATGTACTTATTGTTATGAAATCCAGTTTAAATGATAGAACACAGTATGTAGATATAATTTGCCTTAAATTAACAGATTGAACAGTATCATAATTTATGAAACTATTTAATTCCCCCATAATATTAAAAAGTTGGAAGTACTGACTAATTAATCAACTTCTGAACATTGCAAAAGTATAAACCCTGGTATTGTGGTTGGTAGAAAAAAATGTCTGCGGTGTTAGGACCAGGTGTCTCTCCAGCTCATGTAGCTTGTAATTGCAGTGGTCTTGGGATAAGGAGTGAGAATGATTCAATCTCTTCTCCTGAACTTTGACTCAAGACAAATCTTTTAAATGGTTCTGAATCAGGAAGTGACTGGTTTTGCCTTTTAAATTTCTTACTATTGCAGTTATGAAATAGGATCCATCTGAGTATCAGAAGGATATTCTACTTTCAGCTGCAAAAATGACGGATCTCTTTTGTGATTCCTTTTAGCTCATAAAAATTCAAGGCCAAAATTGTCTATACCAAGGGATTCTAATAGGATAATTGTTTGCTGTGGTGCATGTGATGAGACCACTAACATGGACTGATGGTTATGGTAGCACCCATGTTAAGAGTGCAGCCTGCCCTGGTGGCCTTGCTTAAGATTATTTGTGCCTTTGCTGCTCAGCCCCCCGCAGCTCAGAACTTTTGCTAAACTGTGTGCAGCTCTGGAAGCAGAAAAGGTTTTGGTGGAGGCAAAAATACTGTAGTTTATCTTTTAAGTCTTCATGTATGGCCCTGTGTGTGTGTGTAGGATGAGGTAGTGCTGGGAATTGACTGTATTGTGTCTGTGTCTACAGAAACACAGAATCTCTTTGATTGGAGGAGACCTTTAAGGTCATTGAGTCCAACCAGTCCAAGTGCTGCCATGTCACCACTAAACCATGCCCCTAAGCACCAGATCAAGATGTTGTTTAAATACCTCTAGGGATGGTGAGTCCACCACTGCCTTGGGCAGCTTGTTCTAATGCTTAAGACCCTTTCAGTGACAAACTTCCTCCTAATATCCAGCCTAAACTTGCCCTGACCCAACTTGTAGCCATTTACTCTCATCCTATTGCTTGCTACTAGGGAGAAAGGGCTGACCCCCTCCTCTCTCCAACCCTCTTTCATGTAGTTGTAGAGAGCAATAAGGTCTCCCCTCAGCCTCTTTTTCTCCAGGCTAAACAATCCCAGTTCCTTCAGCTGCTTCTCTTAGGACTTGTGTTCTAGACCCTTCATGAGTCTTGTTGCCGTTCTCTGAACAGGCTCTAGTGCCTCAATATCTGTCTTGTAGTGAGGGACCCAGAAATGAACACAGCATTGAAGGTGCAGCCTCACCAGTGCCAAGTACAGGGGAGCGATCGCTTCCCTACTCCTGCTGGCCACACTTTCTAACAGAAGCTTCAAACAGTAAGAGGGTTGGTTGGCAGCTGGAGCTGTCTGAGGTGACACCTGTACTTACAAAAAAATTCACCACGTGGCTCTGGCATTCTCTTAGTTCCCCTATCTATAGGGGAATCTGGCCGATGGAAAATTAGAGTTTTCCCTCAGCACCTTAGAAGGTGCTGTCTTGTACTTGCACAGAAAAGGTGAGGTGGGACAAATGGGCAACTCTAGCTATTGCCAAGGCAAAAGCATGGAAACACAATTGCTTGCTGTGCACCACTACCGCCATGAATGCCCATACAAATGCTGTATGTGAAGAATTTAATTGCTTGTGAGAACTGATTATGTAAAGCTGCCATTTCCCTTTGTCTGGAGCCTCTAGTTCAGCTGCAGATGGTAAATGCCAAGTCCCTAGTGAAAGAAAGTCCTGTTTTTCTGGTGCCTTCTAGAGGCATAAACCAGTTTTTTTTGTTTTGTTATTGGCACACGTCATTTGCATGAGGATGGGATTTAGAGGCCAGTGTCACAGGTCTCATCAGTCAAGGAAGAATTGGCATAACAAATGAGGCGAAAAAAGGTAGAAGAATTTCATGTTTTGTATCTTCTGCACCAGGTGTTGGGAACTATATTCCTATCTTTTCCCTGTATTGGCTTGTAAAAGTCTCAAGTGGTAGATATCCTTTTGTTTCTTGTTTTTGCTATGTGTTTGGTAGCTTAGTATCTTCAGGAGTCACTTAGAATTGTTCAGGAGGAGGTTTTTACTGTCTGAGTAGAGGATTTATGTATTCATGAGACTCTTGAAAAGGATTGTGAGTTATATAAGCTCAACAACTCTCAGAGTTGAGAAGGAATCTGAAATATGTGATGCATCAGTGGCTCTGCATGCCTGTTGGCTTCAAACTGATGTTGTGATAGGCCAACATTACTTAATAATGTGTTTTTGCAGAATTGTGATTGTAATGTTTTCCTACTTCTTTTTGTATTATTCCTCAGCTTCTTTTATAGTGATGGCTCCTGAATTTCTATCATCTCCTAGTCATTGGACTCATTCCTTCTCAGAGATCCATCAGATGCACAGACTTCATCTGTTAAGACAACTAGAGTGAAAGTGGTGAAAGTTTAGGTATTCAAAGGGGATGATACCTCTTTGTAATCTCTTTTAATAGCTACAGCTGGCATTCTTAGTCTGTAGTTAAGACTGTTGCCCTCAGGTTTTTAAAGGTGATTTCAGAGGACAATAATGCTTTACCACCATTATAAATACATAACCAGAGTATTTTTCCGTTTCTTTTAATTTTCTTATCCTGTCTCCTATGTTTAACTGCTATATTGCAACATTACCGCTCACATGTTAAACTCAAAGAAGTCGGGAAATTCAGATGTACGGTGCCCTCAACAACCATAAGTCTAACATACTGCACGTTATGCTAGTAGTAAAAAT